TTCCCTGGATTTGGGGCATGATAGATTGTAATCTTTCATTCTGAGAGCAGAAGGCTCAACCTACTGCTGAAAGCTAACTTTGCAAGGAAGCGCATAGCATCAGACAGAGATGTTCAATTTCATTGTAGAGGTACCTTGCCATCGTGTATTACCAGACACCTGAGTTCTAGTCACAATCCCTTCGTGACCTCAGATAAATCACTGTTTCCTCATTCTCTATTTCATTTCCTGCTCTGTAAAATGAGAGGGCTGGATTAGATGAGCTCTGTCCAGCAATAACATGGGTTCTTTCTGTTATAGGGGGTTCACTATATGCTACAACCAAATGTCATCCTAAGTGTCTTATTCAAATAAAGAAGTATTTTTCCTTAGAAAAAGCCAACTTAGAAATTAAAGAAATACCTGAAAAGACAAAAATACAGGATTACTGTAGGGGAAGATAAACTATAACTTTGAATAGAGAAAGCTAAACTCAAGCTTAAATAGATTTATCTAAGTGTATTTATGCTCGGCTAGAATTCAAAGACTGCATGCACTGAATTACTAGCACTCTATACACTTGGCTAAAAATATTTTTTAGGACACCTCTTTAAAAGCCTTCAAGTAATATTTATGGAATTTTTACTGAACAATAATTTCAATTTGAATAATGTACATGGGAAAACAATTTTAAATGTAGAAAGGTGACTCATGAAAAGAGGCATTTTTATCACATTGGAAATAAACCATTTGCATTACTAGTGTTTAAGGTAAATTTAGACAAAAATAAACTGAATAGTCACAGAAGTTTTTAATAAATATCATTTATTATTTATTTAATAATAAATGATAACAGCCAGCAATTACCTGGTTCCAGGCACTTCAAAAACCTTTACATATATTTAGCTGTTATGACCCATATGAAGTAGGTACTTTAATTAGCCCTCTTTAACAGAAGTACTACGGTGGGTTATATAACAATGTATATCATTCAGTTACCAAGTAACACATTCAAGAGCCTGAACCTGCAGTTTGGCTTTATAGCTTAAATCTTACTGCTGGCTATTTTTGTTTTGTTTTGTTTTGTTTTTCCCAAACACCTTGTTGTGATATTTATATCATTTATTCAACAAATATGTATCATGAGTCAGGTACTCTCTGAGATGCTGGTAATACAACAGCAAAAAAAAAAAAAAAAAAGGACAAAACTACCATCACTCGGGGAGCTTGCATTTTGTGGTAGTAAAGAAGATGTTAGACAAACAGATAAATAAATAAAATATTGGTATGACAGGTGGTGATAAGTCCTATGTAAAAAATTAAAGCAGCGTTGAGAAATCAAGAGGAAAGAATCAGGGTATTAAAAATATTAAATAGAGTTTAAATAATATCACCACTGAAATAAAGACAAAAACAATTTTTGTGATACAGTGCTATACATTACAGATATAAGGTTCATCAAACTCCCTTTGCTGTATCTGATCTTCCATGGTAACGTCTTTTGCAAAAAAAACCCCATATTTATATATTTCATATTTATCATTTTATATATTTCATATGCATACTTTTATATATATTTCATATATATACTTTTATATATTTCACATATGTATGTTATTTATGCTATTAAACATTGCAGGTTCCTCACAGCAATTTAAATGCAGGGTAAAACCAGTCCTTAGATATTTCATATTTGTAAATACATGGATTACTATAAGTCCATGTCCTGTATTATTTAAAGACAAAAATAATTTGTCCCCACATCTTTTTATTACTAAATTAATATGTTCTCTTTTTATTACTAAATTAATAAATTAAATATTTTGTAAGAAATCCTCTTTTGACACCCCCTGCCCCTCCCTACACAAAGGCCTTTCCTGGAGGAGACTAAATTCTCCCACCCATAATGTGCAATAGCTCTTTAAGGGAAGACAAAGGAAAAAGTGATTCAAGAGCCCTCCCTCCTCTGAGACTGGATATACTCCTCCACTGACTCTTCCAACTCCTCCTCTCAGTGATCAGGAAAGTACATGTACTTAGAATCTGACTAGTGTAAGACCCAAGAGTGCATTGTGACCAAGAGTGGGGTTCCCTTTGCTTAATCAATAAAATGAAGAAGCCAAGTAATTGTTCTTTGTTTTTCATTGAGAAATTTGCCAGGAGGTGTAGCCAGAAGCCTTTCTCTCCTGAGGCTCTGTCTCCACACACCTCAGTTTTTCTTCCTCAGTTCCACCCACAACAGTGATGGCAAACACTTTCCAAAATAAGCCTCTTTTGCACCTAGAGGGAAAGGAATCTGTCCCCAATATCCCATCCAAGGGAACTCTCATTCTACTATTAAGTGATCAATATAGAGAAGCTGATTTGAATGGATACATGATGCTTATAAGCAGAAGATTGGTCTTGCTGCTTTGTTTTTACTGTTTTTGAAAAAGAGATCGTAATAGGAAACACATATCTTTCAAACAACTTATAAAAATCTCTCATTTTATATTTATTAAAAGACTTCTAAGGTAAAATTTTATGTGGCATTTGTATTACAAGTTGGACATTTACCATGTTAATAGGGATATCAAGATGATTAAATTATTTATCATTTTTATGATTTTTAAATAAATATGCAATATTATTATAACACCAAAAGAAAATGTTATACATGTTTAAAAACCATTTTCACACAAGGCTTCAATTACATTTTGCAATGTTTTGTTATATTTTAAAAATGAAGCAAATATGTCAGAATCTTCAGGCACTGAGGAAGTTGATCTATATAATTTTCTATAGGTCCATGATATTTTACAGTACGTTTTTAATTTTCTCAGTCTCATAGGACATAACATATATATGAAAACATTAAGCCCTCTCTCTCGAATACTCATTTAATGATAAGATTAATTTGGATCCAAATAAGAATTCTAGAATTTAATTTTTTTTTCTCTGTGAAACTTAGCTGGGCATGATGGCGCATGCCTGTAGTACCAGCTACTGGGGAGGCTGAGGCAGCAGAATCACTTGAACCCAGAGGCCAAGGTTGCAGTGAGCCAAGATGGAGCCACTGCACTCCAGCCTGGGAGAAGAAGGGAGACTCTGTCTCGAAAAAAAAAAAAAAAAAAAAAAAAAAAAAAAAAAAAGTTTTCCTTTGAGGAAAATCTGCCAAATAAATTAGAACCTGAGTCAGCATCACTGTTTTCATTGCTAAACACCTCACAGATATTCATGAGTTTGCATTTTTTTAAATCAGAAAAACTGGTTACTGACCTCCTAAAGAGGAAAAGCTGGAGCATCCCTGGTGGTTTTTCCTCGCAGACAAATGTTAGCATTTTAATATTTGGCAAGATGAATATTTTGACTCCGAAAATAACCTAAAAGTCACCACCATTATATTTTCATTTGACATCATATTGAGTTCTTGTATCATTTTTGTTTTTTGGTGAATTGTTGAATTTTCCCCCCTGTAGTGCAAACATTTCATGAATGTATGTTTAGAGTATCTTTTTGAAGACTTTGCTTTATTTTAGGAAATACTTCTTAGGAAAAAAAAAAAGGAGTGAGGACTGTATATATTGGGGATTTGAAAATCAAAAAGTGTAACAAGTTTATTATCAATAATATTTAACAGAATTTTTTTAATGTTTTGTCTAATATCAATGTTTTCTTTATCACAACTATAAAAGAGTTCTCTACATAGTGAGTTTCATCAAGTGTCCATTAGCAGATGAATGGATAAAGAAAATGTGCCACATATAAGCAATAAACGGATTTTTTAAAGGAACTATTTGCCTACTACTTGGTCTTAGCGTCGACCATCCGTGTTGTCAAGTAAAGACAATACCCGAAAGGCATTATTCCTAATGTATGGCATTCTCCTCTTGACATTTTAAAACACTGTCCCAAAATCCTCACCCTAGAGATCCTTAAGCCAAAAATACCTTTCCAAGAATTCCTCCACAGGCCCTGAGGACACCCAGAAGCTTTGGGCAGAAAAGACACCGCTAGTGAAAGGGATTGTAATTGACAAAAGCCACCGGATGGGGCCTGAGAGATGAGCTGTGCCCAAATTACAAAGGGCTAAGTTGCATATGACCATGATTATAGAGGTGACAAGTTCTAGTCTTCTTCCGTTAAAATGTGATGAGTGTAGGAAGAGAAGCGAAGTTTTAGATCTGAATAAAGAGTGGAAATCTTTATTCGCGGTATCTAAGCAGAAAGAACAGGAAGAGATTGTGCTTGTGTTCTACGTCGGTTCAACAATTCAGACGTAAAGAACATTTAGTTTTGTTTCTCAGTATACACACAATGCAGCAAAGGAAACTGCCCCTCACCCTCTGGTGGCCAGGCTGTCACCCTGGACACTCTCAGCCCATCAGTCCTTACTCTTGCTTTAGGAGTGTCTCTGCAGGTGCCGCTGGTGGCGCTTCTGGGAACTGGCGCTAGGACCTTGATTGTGGACTCCGTAGCTAGGCCGGAGGCCACTGAAAGCAGCTGAGGGCTCCCCAACCCCCGCCCCTGCGCAGCTCATTAACAGGTGGAATTGCCCCCCTGGTGCCCGCCCCGCTAGAAGTAAATCCTTCAGACCTAGAGCACCATCTGGGCGGGGTCCGGGGCAGACCCTCGGGGAGCCTGGGCGCCCGCGGGGAGTGCAGGGGAGAGCGCAGCATCTGCCGTTGCCCACCCCTTTGTGCACACTGCCGCACTTTCCCTGCTCTGCCTGCTCCCCGCCTGCCCTCAGCTCCCGTCCGGCCAAAAGGCACGTCGATCATTTCTCCGAAAGCCGGTTCAGCCACCGCAGAGGGAAAGAGGCCGCGTGCGCCAGTCCCAGAGAGCCTACATCCATTTAGGCTACTAATTCTGGAAGGAGTCACCAGCAGCTCCAGCCCTGAGACGGGGTGTCAAGGGACTAGAAGACCTCTCCCGGGAATCCTCTAACCCCATGGGGCTGTTGTCTCTGCTCCCAGCTTCTGCTGCCCCTTCGGAGGGAACCAACATCACGCCCAGAGCCCCAGCCCCGCCTGGCGCTTTACCTGTTGGCTGCCAGCCGAGATGCGATGTAGCCTCCCGGAATCTGGGTGATGATGTAGCCCCAAAAGAAGGAACCGTGGATCATCCCCACGGTTTCCGGGTCCCAGTTGAATTTGGCTTTCTATGGGGCATAGGAAAAAAAGGGTGAAGGGAAAGAGTAGAGTCAGTGCCAAAGGTTCACTTTCAGTGGTTCACAAGCCAAACAGCCACCAGTGCTTGGACACTTCACGCATTCTGGGGACAAGGGTGGCTTCATTTTCGTTTCCTAACAAAATTGCCTCTTGCAACGGAAAAACCTTGCTCATTAACGAAATATATTGTGATTAACAGTGAGAACGGGAGCACTGGCTTTCCTCCCCGACTGCTGGTAGGCGTATCAGATCCTCTGAATGAACTAGGAATCTAGAGGGCCCCAGTCTTGGAAATTCGGACTCCCCATGAAGAGATTTGTTAGCCAGATGGAGACTCCTGGCAGGGTTCCACTTAACGGATCCGGCCAACGCGATGCAGTAGTGTAGTGACTTTAAGAAGGGAATTCAACTCTGGAGACTTAAATAGGGACGTTCTAGGAAAGGAAGGTCGGGGACGAAGGACGAAAGCTGCAGGGCTCTGAGTGGCCAGGAGAAAGTGTTTCCTCACAAATGGGGACGGATATGGGCCTGAAGGGTTTGGAGTCATCCGTGAATTGGGGGGAGTAAAGGGAGTGGGAGGCATTGTTCAGGGGATTCAATAAAAACGGGGCAGGGTTATTTCTGAAGGTGGAGGTCTAATTCCGCCCTGGTCAGCCTGGGCGACTCCCCAAGGGAACCTCAAAGTAAACTGGGGCGCAAATATTAAGTTCCGAAAGATAGGAGTGTGCTTTTCCTGCCAGGTAACTGGGAATTCTTTTTCTTCTTCGAATAATATTTTGACACCCAGAAGATTTTTTCAGGGTGTCCCGGATTCCAAGATTCTTCCCCAGTTTCTCCTCTCAGCTCCTGCTTAGTCTGGTCTACCGCAGCTGGAGTTTCTAAGCAGAAAGTAGGGACCCAGGTGTTCTGTGACCTTGACGTGACCCTTTCCTCTCTGGACTCGATTCCCTGCCACTCTGGGACCCTCCAGCGTTGCAGCTCCTCCTGCGGAGACGTAAACCTTCCGAAAGACCCCTCAGCCAAACCTGCTAATATGAACACAGATGATTTTATTTGTTCTGGTTTGTTTCATTTTGATTATTAAGAATGTTTCAGAGGGGCCGACTGAAGTCCCGGGAAAACTACAATTAATATGCTACACTATTCATTCAAATAAAACAAATACATTTCTATTTAGATTTAGTGGACATTGCTAGTCACCAATGTCTCGTATTAGGTCACAGTTCACAAAGCCTAGTGAGCTAGACGCTCTTTTCCACTTTGCAGATGAGGAAGGGAAGGCCCAGACCGCAGAGCGAAAAAGGAAGTGATAACACTATTGGGGTCCATTCTAGAACGGCAGAGCTAGAGAGAAACTTAGGGAGCACCCAAGCCTTCCTTTCCATTGAGGGGGGAAATGGGGCTCAAACAGGAGATGCAGCTTTGCGAGGCTGCATGGCCGAAGGGCGGGAGCCAGGGCGGCCATCCGTTGCCCACCTCCTTGATGACCTTGCCCCCGCGGTGGATGGTGCTGTTGTTGACCATGTCCACAATGGCCACGCCCAGGTTGCAGCGGATGCCGAAGGAGATGCAGAAGCCCAGGCCGCTCATGATGGCGATGATGTAGCGGCGCGGCAGGCCAAAGCACGTGCAGTCGCACAGCGGCGCCTTCCTCTCCGGCACCTCTAGGGGCTTCCCATCCTCTGTCAGCTCGATAGTCTCCCCGGTGTCTTGCTTCTTCTCCAGCACCCTGCGCGGCAGAGCAGGGGCGAGTCAAGGACCTGCGTGGCGGCTTAGGCACCCCTGACGCCGACCCATTCCCATATTTCAGGATCCGTAGGGGTTGGGTGGAGGGCCTGTCGACCTCAGTCCTCCCTCAGGGATTAGGGTGGTGAGGTGACACAAAACTGCAAGACCTCCCACGCTCTCACGCATTCTGCCCTTGCCCCTCCCCTCGGCGGCGTCCCTTCAACTTTAACACCTTTAGGCCTAAGGCAGCGAGTCTCCATCTCGGGATACACCCTGGAAGCTTTGAGTCAGAAACACGGGCTGCTTGGGTCTAACTTTCTTGCGGGGTCTGCATTTTGTGAGGACAGGGGTTACCAGAGCCTCCTCCGCCCCTGTGCAGGCGCCTCCCCTGCCGACCTGCCCTCCCCAGGGCTTTCCCTGGCTACCTCTGTGTCCTCCTGCAACCCAGCGCCCGAGGGCTGCTCCGCTGCAGGCGGGCGCAACCAGAGAGCCTTTTCCACCCGCGCTGCCTTTTCCGTTTTTGGCAAGCCGAAGCTTTGTAGGTTGAGGATGCTAGTATTCTAAACCCCCTGCCCACCCTACCCCCAGCTGAGCCTGGGGCACCCCTGGGACTAAGGCCTCTCTAGGCCCTGCTTCTGCGTGAAGAGAAGGCCTGAGAACCCTCGCTGAGGGTGTCAAACACTCTCCTTCCCCTCATCCGGCCCCAGGGCTCTGGTTCAATGCTTACCCTCCTGTTACACCTCGTACTATTTTTTTTTTTTCTTTTTACACGAGTTGGAGACAAAGACCTCCACAGCATATGGGCGACACCTAAGCTTCCTACTGACAGAACATGAATAATTAATTATTCACAATCTTGCGTCATTACTATCTCTCTTACAAACACCGAAAAAATGTCAAAAGTCCATTTCCCAAGACACAAAATGCGACTCCCAGATATACAAAAGAGCCCCCAAGTTAACTTTTGTAAGATATTCCACATCAAAGTGGAAGATCTCACGTAAAAATGTGTTTTTGCATAGTGTTTCGTTAAGATTTCACCCATTTGAATCAATTCATTCCCGGCTTTAGTCCTTGGGAGAGGGCCAAACGAACAGGGGAACGCGGAGAAAAGAAATGGTTTTACTAAAAGGTGGTGGTGTTCTAGTCTACAACATGTTCATGAAATTTCTATTAACAACAAACAAACAAACAAACAAAAGGAATGCATATGGTAACATCTCTGTATGTAGCCCCTTGGGATTGATACTTTTGATATTTAAACAAAGAGCCTCTCCGTTTACAATTTGCAAATACTTTTCCAAACTACCATGTAATTTTGACCTGTACCGTTTTGAATGCTATGTGCACACCCAATTGTTTTGCCACACAAGGGTGAAGCAAGCGAAAATTTTAATTTAATTTTAAATATGCATAGCTTGGTATATTGCTGTCAAGCAGTTTGAGGCTACCAGAAAAAAAGTCAGACTTCCGAATTCTATAAAATAGCACCTGGAGAATAGGTCATAAAGGCATTTGTGGCTAGGTTACTGTTTATTCTTAAAGTCTGATCATAATGTTAGAAAACATTGCAGTTTAGTTTTACTGGGAGAAAAAAAATCAGCCGCTGTGTTTTTTCTTTCTCTCTTTCTTTTTTCTTCTTTCTTTGTTTTCTTTTCTTTTCTTTTCTTTCTTTCTTTTCTTTTCTTTTCTTTTTTTGGCATTGGCTTTGTGTGCCCAAATAGACAACGTTGAACTCTGCACAGGATGGCAGTTGTACTGGGAAAGAACAGCCCTTTACAAGGTAGCTGTGGGACTGCAGGGCCCTTGCGGTATCTAATGCCGCATAGGTGCATAATAGTGCCTACATAAAGCCCGCCAAACCTAAAAAGATTTGGAAAATTTGGGAGTGGTTTGGTCATATTCTTTATATTTCTCATGCATTTACAGAGACCTCAATTTTCCAAATATTAAAATTAATGCTCCTTTGGAATTGTTTTTTCTTTTATGTCTTCCCTGTCTTCTTGATTTTGCTCGAATTATTTTTTAAAAAGCTGTATCCATGTAGCACACTTGAAATGATTTAAAGTTTTGCAGATTGCAGCATAATTGGTATAGTGACTACAGAAGGATTAAAAAATTAAATCATTTCTAGGACTTTCAAAGCAATATTGCTTGTTATTTTTATGGTTGTTCTTCCAGGCATTGTGACATTTCCTATGCAAGAAATAGACTCTAGGAGACTGAAAATAATTAAAAATGCATATACATTGTTTCAGGCTCAGAGAAAGGAATTGTTTCAACTATCAATTATTGATATATTTTGATTCTTCTTTATTCAATAGAGAAGAAAAATTCCACTGGGGGATTCTCTGCTATGCTTTTGAAGCTAAGATCTCTCTCTCTCTCTCTCTTACATATATGCATATATATAAAAACCATTACTCTTTGGAATTTCTTGGCTAATTTTTAGAGGGTTGTGCTTTATATTCATTTGTCTGCATCAAAGGAGTTTAATTCGGGGTATCTATAAGCACTGAAAGAATGGCTATTTGAGCAGGTGCTGGCCATTTCTAAATTGTAAAGAAGATAAATCCTATGTAGTAAAGAATAAAACTCTGCAGATACCAAAACAAAAATCACACACACACACACACACACACACACACACACACACACACACACCAGGCAGGTTCATTTAGTGCAACATTCCTGCATTAATAAGCAGGTTTCCAGAGCACCCCTGCTCTAAGCAATGGGCAACAAAAAGACTTTCCGATCATATTACAATGTTTCTGAGCCACCAGGGTTTGCGGAAATGGCCCTGCAGGTTTTTTCATGCTGAGCCCCAGGTAAGCAAGGGTTTGCTTTGTCTTACCTGTAGATCTGGCCGAGGGATTTTCCAGCAAAATTCTTTAGCCCCTCTTTTCCTGGGGCCAAAATCCTTTGTTTTACCGATTCCATTCTTGCAAAGACTGTTGTCAGCTCTTGCCAGATTTAAACAGTGATTGCTACGAAAATTGAGGATTGCGCATACTGTCTTAATCTCTTAAGGCAGTTGTAGGCTTTTCCTTCTTAGCAGAATGGTAGTGGCTTGCCTCCAGCAAGAGTGAGAGTGAGAGAAGGGAGGGAGAGTGAGAATGAGAATACAACAGAATAGCTGCATGCAACCCACGGGTTTCCTAATAGGAGAGTTGGTAGACACAATCAGAAAGTCTCATTGGAAGGGGAGGATCCGGTGGCAAAGGGCGCAAGCAGTGCCATGGTATTTGGGTAGATGCGGTTGAGTCCTTGTCCTGGAAGTCGGTCAGCTGAAAAACAATGTAAATTCCCGGTTTTGAAGACTTATTGCTCTCAAGTCTGCTGGCTTTTAAACGGAGGGGCCGGAATATCACAGAACCCTTAAGTAACAGCAAAGTCAAAAGAATGGTACTTTTAAAAATGGTGTATTTGCTGTAAGGAGCAGAGCATAATCAAAACTCATGGGAGAATCTCAGGTCTCAGGTGAGCAGCGCTGCTATTAGTTTTTCCTCTCTGCCCATGATCTCCTCCCATCACGCCAGCGTAACTGTGCTCTGCGGTAGAGTCAAATTAAGATGGAGAAGGCTTGCTGCTCTTTGAGGACGTGAATAAATAAAAGATACACAGTTCTGATTTGGGCAGCGTCAGGGAAGATTTTTTTTCAGCGGCTGTCAGCACCCGTCTGGGCGGGTCTCGATAGAATGGTTCAGCACCACGGACAGAGTAAGTTTCAGGAAAAGGAGACGCTTCTCTTGGCTAGCTAGGTTGCCAACTTTCTAGGGGGGCTGGGCGGATCGCCCTGACCAAGGACCATACTGGGGCTCTTCAGGAACGGATGCTATGGAAACCATGTGGAAGATGTCATCATCTCCAGAGTTTGCAGGGAGAATGGTGCCTTTAGCTCTGCTAGGGAAGACAACCTTATTAAAAATTGACAGGTTACTTCTAGTTTGCTACGTTTTGTCCAGCACACTGATGCCAATATTGCAGGGAAGAAAGATTTCAACATATTTCACTTATGCTTGTGGTGTTCCAAGACACCTAGGCTCCCTTGAATGTAAAATATATGCACACAAAATGCATAATTACATTACTCATATGTTTGTTTTAACCCCTGACAGGAAAAAGATGAATGAAAGAAATAAAAAAAAAAAAAAAGAAAGAGAGGGAAGGAAAGAAGAATGGAGGAAGGGAAAAATAAAGAAAAAGAGGTGCGAGGTAGGGAGAGGAGAAATAAAAGAATAGCTGTAAACTCAATGAACGAGATTAAATAAAAGACAGGTAGTTTAAGATAAATTCCTTGGAATTTTAAGCATCTTTGTTTAAAGAATTTACAGTACACTACTCAAATGCCAGTAAACTGATGAAATATGAGGCTATATCTTTTGCTTGCCGACAAATTATAATGATGATGATTTAAAGATTTATTTTAATTTACATATATTCCATCCAAATCTTATATATTTTTTTCTTTGTATCATCTTCTCCTAAAGCATACGTTTTGAAAGACATTCATGTAATACATTTGGTTTTATGTATATAAGTACAGCATCAATGAATTTATTTCATTAAGCAAAGCAAGAAAACTATGCTAGATTAAGGTAAATTATTAATCTCTTTTACATGAATCACAAACTTCTTATGTATGATTCAGGCCAACACTTATAAAACAGATTGGCCTTGAACCACATTTTCAAGGTCAAAACCTTGGATATCATATAAGTCAACAGGGGGAGTCGATTTTAATTAAGATGCTGGAAAAAAAATCTCAAAAGTATGGATCTAAATTCAGAATCAAGTAAGAATATTCCTTGACTACTTCAAATGGTATAATAGCTCTGTATTCACTGAATGGATACCTGGAAAAAAAATTCAAAAGTATCTAAAACCACCTACCATTATTAAGTTTGATAGTTGTCAAATTACATTCCATTTTGAAATATGATAAAGAAAAGGATAATAAAGAAATTTTTCTCTTTTTTTTGGATAAATTTGTCTAAAATATATATTCTCAATAAAACAATGAATTTGGTTTTTCTCTATCACTCTGGAATGGCTCAGAATAATATCTATTTCTCAAGATCAAGTATGAAGAGACAAAACTACTTCCTTGCTAAAAAACAAACAAGCAAAAAGATTAAAAGATTCAAGCAACTCAGGACTTGACTTATCTAGGTGTTTTCTAAATATCTGTATTTTTCAAATTTTTAGTAAGTAAGTCCATTAAATTATCTTTATTTGGGGATATTAATGATTTTGAAATTCTGGAAAATTATTTAAAAATAGAATTTACAACAAATATTTGTGAAGCTGGAGTGATAATATAGAAATAATTTTCCTAAACATTCCATCTTAAGTTGAACCTCAGATGACTAGAGATCTATCTAAACCATCAATAAGCATGATAGCTAGGTCTCAATTATACAAATATGAGGGGAAACTAAGAAATATAAATCCAACATAAAAGCATTGTTTCTAGGGTAAAACAATTACATTCACTTTTATTGAAATGAATGTCATCTGCCTCTGTTTTCCACTCTCTTGATAATAGCATGAGCAACCGAATCAGAATAACTGCTAATATTGATTTATTCATTCTAAAAATATTCACTGAGTGCCAAGAATAATACTAGATCTGGGAATTCTCCCTGAAATCTCACAAACTACATGGGAAATAGACACATAAATACAATTACAAATAATTACAAGTGAAATTATACAAGTTAAACAACCCATCCTGGGAGTTAAAATGTACAGAATGTATTTCAGGAGACAATGTTTTCTTGTCTGTCTTAGTAGTTAAAAGAAGTGTAGTTCTATAAAGATGGCAGCCCAGTGGAGTTTGGCAGGATGGAGCGGTGTTATTTGGATAGCACTATAGCCAGAGGGGGTATATTTAATGGTATTTCCATAAACAATGAAAAATATTGTATGCGGAAAATTACAAGAAATGTTACTAGGCCACCTGGGACTTAAGAATGCCATTTAGGCTATCTTTAAACTCATAGCAGCTCCCAATGTATGCAACATATATTCAGACACCATTTGCTAACCCAACAGATTTTCTTCATGGGTGTACACAGATTGGAAACACCGAACATGTACTTTTGCAACCCTAAATTAATCAGTTTTATCTTTATGTAAAGAAACACTAGTAGTTATAAGTAGGATATTAATTTAAGCATATCAAAAAAGACTTTCTTTCTCTTGACACCCTCCTTTATCCCCAATACCTTATTTCCAATTTTAACAAGCTCTGAATTCCATCATTAGACAACTTCTCTTCTAGAAGAAGAAATGTCCCTCTTGCCAAGAACTGGGAACAATAAAAGGAGAGATTTTCACAGAATACAACTAATGTAGCATAGCGTATTATAATTTATGAGTAGCTTTTAGTTACATGATAATCTCATTTATTCCTTATAATTATTCCTTAAACTAAAATAGCTGTATTTCCATGTTACTGAGGAGGAAAGTGAGATTTAAGAATTGCCTGAAGTCATGTAACTGGTGATGAGAAAACACCAAAGGTTAGAGTAGCTTCTCACAGTTTAAGGTCTTGTTAAAATACAGATTCTGATTCAGTAGGTCTAAAGGGGAGCCCAAGATTCAGCAACTGTAACACGTTTCCAGGACTACTTGCCCAAGGATCACATTTTGAACATCAACAGCTCAGAGTATGAAATGTGAAATCAGTTTACCTGAGTTTGGGTCCTGATTCTACTGATTATCATCTCTCCAATTTTGTATCAATCATCAAACACTAATAAACCAGTTTTCTTACTGGCACAAATGAAGGCTTGTATTGGGTGATTTCTATCATCCGTTCTGCTTGTAAAATTTTATGCCTTTTCATAACTTTATTAACTGATGTAAAACTACTTTTCTTTTGTTTCTTCCACCCTAAGGTTTTTCTATTATATTTGAGTAAAATTATTAAAAATAAACTGAAAAAATACTAATATATAGAAATGTGCTCATTTCTGAAAGTTCTACCTTCTTACATGTTTAAATAATAGTAAAACTTATTTGTCGTTTTACTATATATATTGAATTTTACATGCAGTTGTTTAAATAATTGAAGTTATAGTATTTTTTTAAGATGCACATAAGGTATTAGCCAACAGCAATGTAATAAGTTTCCATTTGTTTATATCCCTGTGTGGAAATAAACAACTGTGTGAGGGAATACTTTTGAGAAATAATTTAAATGTCTTGCAAATGTTGCCCTCTGGTGGAAGGATATGTTAATATTTTAGAGATAATTGTGGTCCTTAATTATGTAATTACACCTACTTTCTTTTCTCTCTTTCTTTCTTTCTTTCTTCTTTTGAGTATTTGTTAAATTAAATCTACATCTATAACTATAAAGTCTTTTTGTGGGCAACACATTTGCCATTGTTTTACTACAAAATATATTTAGAAATAAGTTGATTGTCTGAGAATCCCTCAGTTAACCAAAAAGCTAGTACTAAAGGAAACTTTACTGTATTATGATTGAGCAGTGGTATGACAATCACACAGGTAAAAACGGTATACATTTTCTAATCCCAGTAGAATCAATTGTGATAATTTTATAAATATTTTGAAATAGTAATATAAATTTGATGTTTCGCTCCCCATTACCAAAAATACAAATATATTCTAAAGGCATTATATTTAGGATCATTCAGAAACTATTTCTGGGGTATTTTAAGGCAAATTGATTTCAAAAAATACCTCAAGGTGGTGGTGTGCATCTGTAGTTCCAGTTACCGGGAAGGCAGATGCAAGAAGATTGCTGGACCCCAGAAGTTTGAAGTTAGCCTGGGAAACATAGCCAGAGCCCGAACTCAAAAAGAGAAAATCCTTAAGATGACTAAGTCTGAGACTATTTTGAATGCAACATCTTCTGTTTATTATTTCAAAAAATATTCACTCAACAGATATTCATACATACTGTGGGCTAGGTCCTTTTCTGAGATATAGTAAATCTATGAACTCGATACAGTTTTATAGCTTTTTTTTTTTTTCATGAATTTATCTGAAGGTTTATTGCAGTTCTTAACAAAATTCGAACAAGATATTTATAGGCAGACAAGTTTATTCTGATACTTTCCTGGGAAGGCAAAGAAACTAGAGTAGCTACAACAATTTTGAAATAGAAGAAAGTATATGGAATTATTCTTTTCCTGGGCCTTTTTTTTAAATTGCATTTTAATATAAAAATTTATATTATATTTTTATAATGTGTAGAGAGTGCACATTCCTAAAGGTAAAAATGCTTCGAAAAGCTTTTTTACAGTATGGCTTTATTTAACTTTGAATTCCTAAGTAAATGTTCAGTCCAATAATTACACACTTCTTTCAGGTTGGAGCTATACAAATAAGCTCTAGAATTCATCTGTGACTTTTTTCTTACCAAGGGTTTTTAAGTAGACAATTTTTAGTTCAGCTTTATTTGATTTTACTTTGCAGTGTTAGCCTCAGAGACAATTTCTAAGAAATTATCTTTATATAATTTCCTTAGAGCTGCAAATAGAAGAAATAATTCA